GAACATTTTTTGATACAAAGTCAAATTTCGGCGTTACAGGATCTTAAATGGTAAAAAAAAACTCAATAATCACAAAATAAAGCTAAAAATCCAAATTTTTTTAAAGGAATGCAAATTGTAAATTATTTTTAATTAGATTTGCTATAATCTTGGTACTCATGGGTTTTCTGGGACGCTGATTATTAACTTTTAAGAGAATCTGACTGATTTTTGAAAATGTCGTCTGCCATTTTGAATTTTCCATCTTGTTAATCATATATTTGAGGCATTTCACGTCAGAAGTATCACAATTTGCAAAGGGTATGCCAATTTGCGCAAAACTTCGTGGGATTATAGTTCTATATAAGAGACTTGTTTTCCCCAAATTTTTTCAAAAAAAAAATTCGAAATTGTTGAAGATACGCCATTTTAAATTTTAATATTAATTTTATAAGATTTTGAATATCTCGGAATATTGCTCATAGATTTTTATGCAATTCACACATTTTTTAGGTAAAAGTATGTACTTCAAAATACAAATCAATTTCATTAAAAAAATTAATTTTTAAATAAAAAAAAAAATTTTTAAACAATTTTTTGTTTATTTACTTCTCTCTGAGAAAAATGTTATTAACATGTTTGGATTTCTTATGAATTCACCTTTAATTTTATAAAAAAAAATTGATGCAGACTCAACTGGGTCCAGAGATATTAAAGTTTTTGTAAAAAAATAGGCGTAGTTGTAGCAGCAATGCACGACTACGGTAACGTACTACGCGACTTGTGCAGTATGGTGCTTTGGTGCGGCGACGCTTTTTTTTACAAAAACTTCAATATCTCTGAACCCAGTTGAGTCTCTATCAATTTTTTTTATAAAATTAAAGGTGAATTCATAAGGAATCCAAATATGTTAATAATATTTTTCTCAGAAAGGAGTAAATAAACAAAAAATTGTTTTAAATTTTTTTCTTTAAAAATTAATTTTTTTTATTAACTTTATTTGCATTTTGAAGTACATACTTTTACCTAAAAAATGTGTAAATTTCATAAAAATCCATGAGCAATATTCCGAGATATTCAAAATTTTATAAAATTAATATTAAAATAAAAAATGTCCTATCTTTAACAATTTTGAATTTTTTTAAAAAAAATTTTGGGAAAAGAAGTCTTTTATATAGAACTATAATCCCACGAAGTTTTGCGCAAATCGGCATACCCTTTGCAAATTGTGATATTTCTGACGTGAAATGCCTCTAAAGTTATATGAAAATGCATAATATGGGATTTTATTTTAATTTCATGGTTCCTTTCCTCATTTCCAAGTGTCATTATATCATTTAAAGGTCATTTTTTTAAATCATTTACCTAAATATTTCATTGATTTTCTACAGTGATCCAACTCTAGCGACCATAATCAACTGTGACAACATTTTTTTTTAAATTGCTTATAACTCTTAATCTTTTGGTCTAACTTTTTTACAATATTTAGCAAAAACATTGCATTTGAGTTGATATTTCAAACAGTGTGCGTGACATCGCGAAATTCGTTCTGCAGGGGAAGTTATAAAGAAAAGTCAAAACTATGCACAAATCTAAAAACAGTCCTCTAATTATTCAATTTTATTGTTGAATAAATTAATTTTATAATAAATTAATTCAATAATAAAATTAATAATTATTAAAGAAGAAAGAAAAAAGAAATTTGCAATGATAAAAAGCGCCACGAGATGGCAGCTGTTGATGGACAAATAAAAAAATATTTATTCAAAAGTAAACTATTGAAATTAATTTTTCCACATTATAAGATGGGAAAATAATAGAAATAACTAATATTATTAATTATTAATTAATTTTTCATTAACAAATCATTTAGAATTAATTTAATAATAACTAATGACATTAATTAACAAAAATAACATTCAATTATTTTGTAATAAATGATTATTTTTATCACTGAAAAATTAAATGCAAAATTTAATAAAAAGAAACAGAAATGAGTATGATATTGTAATTAATTTTTCAACATAATTAATTAAAGAAAATTAATTGATAATAGAGAATTTGAAGAATTAATGAATAATTAAATTAATTAACAATATTTATTAAATATTAAATAAATTGATGAATTTTTTTGTTTAAGTAATTAATTGTTTAATTATTTATTCTAATTAATTAATTAATAATTATTAAAGAAAATAAATTATTTTGTAATAAAATGATTATTTTTATCACTGAAAAATTAAATGCAAAATTAAGTAAAAAGAAACAGAAAAAAAATTTCAACCCACCCAGGAGTCGAACGCAGACTTTAAATTTACAAGTTTCTTATGGTCGCCACTGAGCCATCTCAAGTTATGTCAACCTTTGTAGTGATAAAATATTTATGTGAAATTCATTTTGACAGACCAAAAAAAATTGATCCTGAATTATTTATTCCCATAATTTGCTCTTATTTTTGCCAGAGTTTAGATTGCTATTTTTTTCATTACCAAAATTAAGAAAAAATCTAGTTTTTTTCTCCCATACTTTGCCCATATTTTTGCCAAAGTTTAGATTGCTAATTTTTTCATTACCAAAAATAAGAAAAAATCGATTTTTTTATTTCCATTCTTTGCCCATGTTTTTGACAAAGTTCAGATTGATAATTTTTCTTTACCAAAAATTTGAAAAAATCGATTTTTTTCCACCCGTACTTTGCCCATATTTTTGCCAAAGTTCAGATTGCGAATTTTTTCATTACAAAAAATTAGAAAAAATCGATTTTTTTCCTCCCATACTTTGCCTATATTTTTGCCAAAGTTATTTTTATCACTGAAAAATTAAATGCAAAATTTAATAAAAGGAAACAGAAACTAAAATTTAACCGACCCGGGAGTCGTACGCAAACTTCAAATTTACAAGTCTGTTATGGTCGCCACTGAGCCATCTCAAGTGATGTCAACCTTTGCAGTGATAACATATTTATGTGAAATTCATTTTGACAGGCCAAAAAAATTGATCCTCAAATTAATCCACGGATTAATTTCAGGATCAATTTTTTTTTAATTTATTAATAAACTGAAATTAAAAGGAAATTAAAATTCTTGTTTTTATTAATCAAATAATTTTAATAAAAATTAATTGTTTCTAATGAAGAAATAGATTTGATATAATGATAATTAATTAAAAATAGAGAATTTGTAGGATTAATGAATAATTAAATTAATTAACAATAATTATTAAATATTAAATTAATTAATTTTTTTGTTTATATAATTAATGGTTTAATTATGTATTCTAATTAATTAAATTGATAATTATTAAATAAAAAATAAATTTGTAATATTAAAAAGCGCTACGAGATGGCAGCTGTTGATGGACTATTTAAAAAAATATTTATTCAAAAATAAACTATTGAATTTTTTTTTAATTTAATTTACTAGAAAGTAATTCAATTTACTAATATTATTTAATTATTTTTTTTTATTTACTGTTTATAAATAATTTCCTTTTAAATTTGTAAATAATGAATTAATAATTAATTAGTTACTAATAAAAAATTTCTTTAGATTTGAATGTTTTTAAAAATGTTTTGTTTACATTTTGTTAACCTCAATTTTTGACATTATTTTATCAATTTTCCACTTACCTTTTTTTGATGGAATAATACGTCCATTTGATTTTCTTGCTTATTTGCTTCACATTGAACTTAATATTATTGCATTATTTCTTTTGGAAATATTGCTTTTAATGATTTTTTCACTATTATATAAACTTTTGTTTAGACTGTTTGTTTCCGTTTTTGAAATTAAAAGAACATAAATTACACTATTCATTTTTATTAATCAATATTTATTTTTTAACTATACAAATTGTTTCTTCGCTCCGCTCGCACTCGTTTCCGGTTTTGAACTGCTCAACATCGACAACTGCATGGCATTCCCTCTCCTCAGTACTTTAGTATATCTGGAAAGGTATAAGGTCCCACACTGTTGTCTTCTTATCTATAACAATTAAAAAAGGGAAGGGAAAATGGGACAGAGAGAGAGAGAGAGAGAGAGAGAGAGAGAGAGAGAGAGAGAGAGAGAGCGCGAGAGTGAAAAGTGAAAAGGTTTACGACCTTTGTAAAGAGATTACAAAGGTGTTTGGCAATTAAGTCCTGTCTAGACTTTCGTCTCGACGACTTATAACAATAGTAGGTATCGGTTTATTATTAATAATAATAACCTTTGCAGTTTCTTGGATCCAAACAAATGTAACAAAACCTGGTTGGATCAAATTTGACAACCAGTTTGAATTGTTCTTATAAAAACACATAAAGTTTTCGAAAGCCGCGTTAACATACCGCCCGCCTTGCTCTGTCTTAAAGAGCGAAATCAAAGCAGTATTAGAATTTAAAAATTCTCCAAAGCATCAAAAGTTTAAACATATATACATATAAACAATTTTCTTTTCGAATTAAATTCAACAAAACAAAACAAAAAAACAAAAAAAAACTTAATTTTCAATGATTGAAATCCTTTTTCATTGGAAGTTGACATAATTGTGTAATTGGTCTTTGATATACTCCTGAGGAAATCTTGACTGAGACAACTCGAACGAGGCCGTCTTTTCCAGGGTGAGTTTTTAAAACTCGCCCAAGATCCCATTCACATTTTGGAAGATTAGCGTTTTTAACTATTACCATATCATTTGGAGAAATATTCAGGTTGGTTTTTGTCCATTTATTTTTTTTCTGCAATCCTTGTAAGTATTCAATCGACCAACGTTTCCATAGTTGTTCAGTTACTCGTTGTACTAATTGCCAACGAGTAAGTCTATTTTCGTTTAGAGAGAGGACTGTAGGAGATAGTACGGCTAACAATGAACGGCCAATCAACAGATGTCCTGGTTTGAGGTATGAAAAATCATCTGGATTATCCGTGAAAGGCGCTATTGGTCTTGAATTAAGACATGCTTCTATCTGACTTAGTATCGTCGTTAACTCTTCAAAAGTAAATGTTAATCCGCCTACGATTCTTCGAAAATGGTGTTTGACACTTTTAACCCCTGCTTCCTAAAGCCCTCCGAAGTGGAGCATACGGAGGTATAAAGTGCCAAACAATCTCATTTTTTGAAAGGTAACCTTCCAGAGTTGGATCTCTACAAATCTTTTTAAAAGATCGCTGTAATTCTTTATCTGGACCTTTAAAGTTTTTTCCATTGTCGCTATACAAATCATTGGGTAAACCACGTCTGGAAACGAATCTATTTAATGCACCTAGAAAACTTTGTGTTGTGTTATCACTAACTAACTCTAAATGGATTGCACGCGTATCTAAACAAACAAATAAAGCTATGTATCCTTTTTGCGATTGATAACCTCGACCCTTTCCTAATTTTACTGATATAGGACCAGCATAGTCTAGTCCACAATGTGTGAAAGGATTAGAGATTGTTACTCTAGGAGTTGGTAAATCCGACATTAATTGAGTAGATGTTTTCGCCTTTTGCCGTACACAAGTTACACAACCGTGAATTAATTTTCGAATCAAGTTCCTACCACCAATTATTAAAAAGTTCTGTCGCAATACATAAAGAGTTAGCTGAGGGCCGTGGTGTAAACATCTTAAATGTGCTTGTCTAGCTAACAGTTCACTTAGTCTATGTTTTGGTAGGATAATAGGATGTTGAGCATCATATTCTATCGGTGCGTTATTTAAGCGACCAGACACTCTAAGTACGCCATCTTGATCCAAAAACGGATTAAGAGATTTTATTGTACTTGAACTTTTAACTTGACGTCCTCCTTTGAGATCTTGAATTTCCCGACAGTAATACTGATTTTGAATGGTACGAATTAAAAATTGTTTACTTTCACGCATTTCTTTCACGTCGCATGAACTACTATTTAAGTAAGAAGAATCTCCTTTAATTCGCGCAATTAATTTTTTAATAAATCTAAAGCAAAGGGTAACGATTTTTATAAGTTTTGGCCAAGTACTATATTTTTCGATTAATTCCTTCGCTAAATCTAGCCTACTTTCTGTTACGTTCAAGTAAACTTTTGGTTTTCGTAATTCATTGCTCATTACATGTTCTTTAACAGGACTTGAAGGCCAAAAGATTTCCGGTTCTCTTAACCAACTTGGTCCCTGCCACCAAAGTTCGTTATCCTGCAATTCGGAAGGGTTAATTTAGGCACAATCTGCTGGGTTGTCAGCTGTAGGGACGTGTCTCCAATTTACCGAAGGAAGTAACGTGTGAACTGTTTGAACTCGGTTAGCTACAAAAGTCTTCCATCTTGAAGGATGTTTAGCTAACCACGAAAGCGCGATTGTTGAATCTGTCCACCCATATAGCTGAACCAGATCTAGTCTGAGATCATCTACAACCCTTTTAAGTAACTTTTTAAGCAAAACAATTCCACACAATTCCAGTCTTGGGATAGTAATGATTTTTATAGGTGCAACTTTAGTTTTCGCTTGTAGAATAGTCAGTCGAGGGGATTCATTTGGATTTAAAATACGAATATAAACTACTCCGGCATAAGCACGTGATGATGCATCTGCGAAACCGTGAACTTCAATTTTACTTCCCTCTTTGTGACCCGTCCATCGTGGTATTTGAATCGCGTCTATAGATTTTAGTTTGTGAAAATATGAATCCCATTTCTCTCTAAATTTCTGGGGCAGCTCTGAATCCCAATCGAGCTTCTGTAACCACAAGTCTTGCATTAACATTTTAGCGACAATTATAATGGGAGCTACTAAACCTAAAGGGTCAAAGAGCTTCGAGATTATGGATAAAACTAATCGTTTAGTTATTACGGTATATGATTGTATTTTGACAGTAAACCTAAATTCGTCATCTTTCGAATTCCAAATCAAGCCAAGTACTGAACTATTATTTTCCGTTTCTGTTATATCAAGATTTTTACTTTGTTCTATATCCGTTTGATCATCTAACAATTTTGGCGTATTTGAGGAGAACTTGTATAATGTAAAACCTCCGCGCGCTAAAAGTTTGCATAAGTCGTTTTTCAGGTCTAGAGTTTTCTTTAAATTATTTCCACCAAATAAACCGTCATCAACGTTAAAATTGTTTTCCAATACAAGTTTAGCTTCTGGAAAATCGTCTCCTTCATCCGCCGCTAATTGTTTTATCACACGATTTGCTAAATAAGGAGCTGATTTTGTGCCATACGTAACGGTAAGCAATTTAAAATGTTTTATCTCCTCGCCTGGTACCAAACGACACACAATATTTTGAAAGTTTTGTCTCGGGGGTCAATCAAGATTTGGCGAAACATTTTACAGATATCTGCTCTCATCACAAAACGATAATTTCGCCAGCGTAGAATAATCGATGAAATTTCTGTGTAAAGTTTAGGACCAGCTGATAAGAGGTCATTCAATGCGACACCGTTAGAAGTATTATCAGATGATGAGGCAAATATACACGGTTTTCTTTGCCATTTAAATCGGGTCTTATCTCAACTATGTGACCTAATCTTTTATATTCAGCTAAAAAATTATAATAATCTGATTGAAGTGAAGGCAATGTTTCTAAACGTCTGTCTGATCGTATTAACATGGAAAGAGATTTCGGTAAGGATGATCCTAAAGTTTGATTATCTTTATCTTTAAACACTTGTCGCACAATATAACGGCCTTCAGAAGTTCGAGAATGGGTTTGACTAAAATATTTCTCACCATTTTTCTCCTCAGGTGTTAAACTTACTTTCTCAAAACATTCCTCAACTTCCCAAAATCGTTGAAGATCTTGTTGAAGATCTGAAATCTCTATTTTTTGATGAGCTACAGTTCGAGGGGCCGATATAGGATATAGTGACTTTGTAGGTCCTGATATTAACCATCCTAAGTGTGATTATTAAGTCTTGTTAACACTAAAGCAAAAATTTCAATTGAATTCTTTGAGTTATTTTTTGAACTTAAAGTCAAATTTACCCTAGCTTTTACATTACCGATAAAAACATTATCGACTCCATTAACTCTTATCAAGACATGTTGTGTTTTGGCGTGAAGTAATTGAACTACATTTTCCGAAATGAATGTAGCTTCAGAACCTTGATCTAATAAAGCATGAATTATTAGTTTTTGACAACTATTAAGTGTACTAACATAGACAGTAGCGGTAGCTAACAGAACTAAATTACTACTTGTGTATTGTAAAGTAACATCGTTGATATTCTCTGATAAATCTCTAGTTTTATGTCATGTTACTGAACTAGAATCTTGTTTTTTATTATTTGTAGATTCAGATTTTTGGACATCAGCTGAATTAAGAAACTTAGTTTCAGTACTGAGCAATGGCTGTGTAGAGTGTAGTAATGTATGGTGGCGTTTTTTACATTTAAGACAAACACATTTATTACGGTAATTTCAGTAGTTTAAGAATTTTTTTTGTAGTTATTAATATTAAATTAATCATTATAAAACCTATTTTTCTTTAAAATGCATGTACTGAGCTACATAAGATAATTTTTATAAAAGATAATATCCTATTACAGCTTGAAGAAAACACAGTAAAGTCCCCGGGTGTATCGCACACCCAGTGTGCGGTTTAAGGATGGATTCGCACACAGAGAGAAAAAACAAGGCTTTTCCCCGTGACTTCAATGAATGCCTTTTTCAGGTAGCAGTTTCATCCGATTTCCCGATGATTTTCTTGAATTTAGCGGATAGGCCATGCCTTAGCCCTTATTGGCAAGAATCTCACCGGAAAAAACCGTGAGCGTCCTGCCTTTTTACTGTGATAATTTTCACGTGTTAAATGCATATTCTTTCATGGGGAAAAGCCTTGTTTTTTCTCTCCGTGTATGTGTTCGCTTCAAGTGTTAAAATGTCGAATTTGATAAAAACTCGTCACTCAGGGGTTTTTGGGGTCACTGATTACAAATTCGGTGTTAGTTCCTTAAAATTTAAAATAACAGTTTCAATATGACAGAATTTTTTAAAAATTATCCCGATTGACCTGAAACTGTTTACTTCTGGGTTTTAAAGATCACTGATTACAAATCTTATGTCAGTTTTTTAAAATTCAAGATGGCGGATCCAATATCGCGGATGACGTTTATAAATAATCCTATTACCCTGAAACTTCTTACTTGGGGGTTTTTAAGGTCGCTGATTTGGAAACTGACATTATAATCGTAATCAGCGACGCCGAAAACCCCCGAGTGACGAGTTTTGAGCAAATTCAAAGAGTTTTTAAATTTGCGCCCGCCAGATTGGGTCCGTCATTTTAAATTTTCGAAAACTGACAATATATTCGTAATCAGTGGCCCCAAACAACCTCCAAATAGATATTTTCAGGTGAATCCAATTAATTTTAACAAAACTCGTCCGCCATATTGGATCCACCTTTTTGAATTTTTAAAAACTGACATCATATTCGTAATCAGCGAGCCCAAGAATCCCCGAGTAGAGAGTTTCAGGTGAATCTAATTAATTTTTAATAAAATCATCCGCCATATTCGATCCGTCATTTTGAATTTTTGAAAACTGACATCATATTCGCAATCAGCGACCCCAAGAACCCCCGAGTAAAGAGTTTCAGGCGATTTCAGTGACTTGAAAAAGTTTGAGCACTATGTTTCATATGTAAGTCATTTTTTAGTTTCAGCCGCCATATTAGCGTCCGACATTATGAAAAAAAAATTAGTCGCTTTAGGGTTTTGTAGCTAAGGGTCATGGACGCGATATTTTGAGCTTTTGAGAGTACAGTTAATAGGGGTAATTATGGAACAAAAAAACGCGATTTTTTGAGTTTCTTCTTCACTAAAAATCTAAAGTGTACAAAAAAATTTTATTAGCTATTCATATATACTATGAACATTCTTCTAAAGATTTCCTTCAAGTTCCATTTACAAAAAAAAATTTTTTGACGGAGTTATTTAAACATAAATATTGCTCCATAATTGCCTCGCATTTAAGGGAATTATAGAACAAATTATTATAATTAATTATAAAAGCAAGTATAACAAATTTTCTTTTTCTGTATATTAAGAAAACTTTATTTAGTACTGCACAGTAAAATAATAATAGACAATAATAGTAAACTAAACGCGAATTTAATTCGAAGAAATTAGATTTTTACACTTTTGTGAAATAACCTTTCCACTTTTTCGATGTTTAATAATTATTTTCTCGTTGCCAATGACAATAAAAATAAAAACATCTCAGTAAATTTGTAGGCAATATATTAAACTATTATTTACAACAAGAACCAAATTAAAATAATTTACCACAAAAATTTTACGTAAACAAGAATAACGCGTTCCATATTTACCTCTGATGTCCCATAATTACCCCTGTTGACGGTATCTATCTACTTTTTGCAGGTGAAAATACGCCTAAAATGAAATTTTTTTCTTGAAAAATCGTGTATTTTTGGAAAAATTGTTTATAACTTTTTAACAATTGAGTATAAACAAATTTTAACAGCAGAATCTGAAAGAGGAGTAAATTTTACATTAAAAATGGTATGTGCCAATTTTTCTATATGCATTTTAATAAAAAACGAGGTCCTCAAAGTCAATTAAAATTTTTCGTCCGTCTGGTCCTTAACCCCTTCACAGTGTTTGACGTCTTTAGAGGACAAAATAATATGTGCCCCCAGTGTGCACGGAGAGAAATATCTGGGCTTTTTAGCATGAAGTTCTTCATACTACGATTGCAAGAAACCTATGCGATTTCGGTAAAAGTTTTCTGCAATGTGATTGGTCGGCCCAGGCTCTGGGCGTGGCCTAATAGCCAGTTGCAAGGGTCTAATACCGAAAAAGCATAGGATTCTTGCAATCGCAGTATACTTTCTTGCAGTCATAGTATACTAACATTTCATACTTTTAAAATACAAAGCATTCATGCTATAAACGATTGATTTTTCTCTCCGTGTGTATGACCGCTATAGCGGCATCGAAAAAATATATATATAAAAGTTAACGAATCTTGCTAAAAATGTCTACTCGGGGGTTTTCGGGGTCGCTGAATCCAAATCCGCTATTAAAAATTTTAAATTCAAAATAGCGGCTTCATAATGGCGACCAAAATTTTTTTAAGTTTACGAATTTGGCTGAATATGCTCATTCGGGGGTTTTTGATGTCTTTAAATACAAATATTTAGTCAAATTTAAAATTCAAAATGGCGGCTCCAAAATGACGACCAAAAAAATTTAAAAGTTTACGGATTTGACTAAAAATGTTTACTTGGGGGTTTTTGGGGTCGCTGAATTCGAATATTTGGTTAAAATTTTTTAATTCAAAATGGCGGCTTTAAAATGGCGACTAAAAATTTTTTTAAGTTTACGAATTTGGCTGAAAATGCTCATTCCGGGCATCTATATTAAAAAATTTAATAATAGTAATTAAATTAAATAGTTCGTGACTCCGGATTCGACTAAGAGCGGTGTTTTGAATAGTTTGTGTAAATATATATAAATATAAAAATATTATACATGTAAAATATATTATATATATGACGGGTTCCACGTCAAGTGACCCAGGTCAAAAATTTACATGGAATATTTGAAAAATTTGTAGTTTCTTTAAAACAAAACGAAAATACGTTTTCAATTTTGGGTTTTGCTGCTGTTTTTCAATACTTTCTAATAGTGTGAACAAATGTAGAGAAAAAAAATTGTTTGAACTTAAAAAATTAAATTAAAAAATAAAATTTCATTTTTTTATCAAATGGGCAGTTTTTATTTTTTTTAACAATTTTATCATAAAAGTGAGGTTTTTTCCTAAACAAATGTATAGGTCAAAACGTGGGACAAGAACTTTTAACTGGTCAAATTAAGCATTTACAACTGCACTGGACCGGCCCACAGTGGAATTTTTTTTACAATTTCCTATTAAAAAATGTCTATAGCTTACAATTTTTAACTGATTTGAGTGTTCTTTGTCTTAAATTAAAGGGGAATAAATCCTTAAGACATCCTTCGAGGACAATTTTGGGGATTTTAATTATTTATCTTTTTTTTGTAATCAAAGTTAACAAATTAATACACTTTTTTAAAAAAAGAACGTTTATTTTCTTATTCCGTTGCTGCACTTGATCTAAATCAATTCAAATTTATCCAATATGACCACCAGATAATTAATAAAGCATAAAATAATTTATTTTAATTGTTATAAACAATATACAGCAAAACAACGCGCAGGGGCGGTGGATTGCAGAAGTAAATGTTTATTTTGACCAGTTAAAAGTTCTTGTCCCACGTTTTGACCTATACATTTTTTTAGGAAAAAACCTCACCTTTATGATAAAATTTTTTTTCAAAAAAGAAAAACTGTCCATTTGATGAAAAAATGGAATTTTATTTTTTAATTTAATTTTTCAAGGTCAAAATTTTTTTTTCTCTACATTTGTTTACACCATTAGAAAGTGTTGAAAAACAGCAGAAAAATCCAAAATAGAAAATGTATTTTTGTTTTGTTTTAAAGAAACTACAAATTTTTCAAATATTCCATGTTAGACCAAAAATTTAAACTTTTACCCCCTCCAGTTTTTATATAAAAAAATAAAAAAAAATAATATAATATAATATATATATATATATATATATATATATTATATTATATTATATTATATTATATTATTTATTATTATTATATTATTGTTTAAATAAATTAATAATATTTGGTATTTTTAATTGTATCGAATAGGACTACTGTTTGCGCAAACTTTTAACCCGATCCCAAACATTTAAAATTTGGACCTGGGTCACTTGACGTGGAACCCGTCATATATATAAAAATATAAATCTCAAAAGACTCAAATAACTATTTATAACCACATTCGTAAACTTTCAAAATTTTAGTTAACATCTTAAAGTCGCCATTTCAAATTATAAAATTTTAACCCAATATTATAATTCAGTGTCTCCAAAAACCCCCAACTGCTCATTTCTAGCCAAATCCGAAAACTTTAAAATTTTTTCCGTCGCCATTTTGAAGCCGCCATTTTGAATTTTAAAATTTCAACCAGATATTCGAAATCACCGACCCCAAAAACCCCCCAAGTGAGCATTTTTAGTCAAATCAGGAAACTTTTAAATTTTTAAAGCCG